AGTAGAAGGAGAGATGATTAATGTTGTTAGTGGTTATGCCCCACAGGTGGGCTGTGAGTTGGAAGAAAAGGAGAAGTTCTGGAAGGAGCTAGATTGGATGGTAGAGAGTATCCCCAGGAGAGAGAGAGTGGTGATTGGAGCAGACCTAAATGGTCATGTAGGGGAAGGGAACAGAGGAGATGAGGAAGTGATAGGCAGGTTTGGTGTTAGGGAGAGAAACGTAGAAGGACAGGCAGTGGTAGATTTTGCAAAGAGAATGGAAATGGCTGTGGTAAACACATATTTCCAAAAGAAAGAGGAACATAGGGTGACTTACAAGAGTGGAGGCAGGTCCACACAGATAGATTATATTCTATGTAGAAGATGTAATCTGAGGGAGATTAGAGACTGTAAGGTGGTGGCAGGTGAGAGTGTAGCCAAACAACATCGGATGGTAGTGTGTAAAATGACGATGGAGGTGACAAAAAGGAAGAGAGTGAAGACAGAGCAGAAGATCAAGTGGTGGAAACTAAGGAAAGAGACATGTTGTGAAGACTTCAGGAAGGAAGTAAGGGCAGTTCTGGGTAGTGTTGAGATATTCCCAGATGATTGGGAGACTACAGCTGCAGTGATGAGGGAGACAGGTAGGAAGGTGCTAGGTATGTCCTCTGGGCAGAGAAAGGAGGACAAAGAGACCTGGTGGTGGAATGAGGAGATCCAGGAGAGTGTGCAGAGAAAGAGATTAGCGAAGAAGAGATGGGACAGTGACAGAACAGAAGAGAACAGACTGGAGTACAAAGAGAGGACAAGGGAGGTGAAGAGGGAAGTGGCCAAGGCCAAACAAAAGGCATATGAGGAGTTGTATGAGAGTTTGGAAACAAAGGAAGGAGAAAAGGAGTTGTATAGATTGGCGAGACAGAGAAATCAAGCTGGGAAGGATGTGCAGCAGGTGAGGTTGATTAAGGACAGAGAGGGGAATGTGATCACAAGTGAGGAAAGTGTGCTGAGAAGATGGAAGGAATACTTTGAGGAGTTGTTAAATGAGGAAAATGAAAGGGAAAGTAGAAACGAGGAGCCAGAGACTAGTAGGAAGAAGGTAGATCAGGTTAGAAAGGATGAAGTTAGAAAAGCCCTGAAGAGGATGAAGAGTGGAAAGTCAGTTGGTCCTGATGACATACCAGTGGAAGTATGGAAGTGTTTAGGAGAAGTGGCAGTAAATTTCCTGACTGGTTTGTTTAACAGAATTTTAGAGACTGGCAAGATGCCTGATGAGTGGAGAAAAAGTGTTCTGGTGCCAATTCATAAGAAGGGTGATGCACAGAGTTGTAACAACTACAGAGGGATAAAGTTGATGAGCCATACAATGAAGATTTAGGAAAGAGTAGTTGAAGCTAGGTTGAGGCAGGAAGTGGAGATTTGTGAACAACAGTATGGTTTCATGCCTAGGAAGAGTACCACAGATGCAATATTTGCCTTGAGGATGTTGATGGAGAAGTACAGGGAAGGTCAGAAGGAGCTGCATTGTGTATTTGTAGATCTAGAAAAGGCATATGACAAAGTGCCAAGGGAGGAATTGTGGTTTTGTATGAGGAAGTCAGGAGTGGCAGAGAAGTATGTTAGTTTGGTGCAGGACATGTATGAGAATAGTACAACAGTAGTGAGGTGCGCTGTTGGGAGGACAGAAGACTTCAAAGTGGAGGTGGGACTACATCAAGGATCGGCCCTGAGCCCCTTCTTGTTTGCTGTGGTGATGGACAGATTGACAGATGAGGTCAGACAGGAGTCCCCATGGACTATGATGTTTGCAGATGACATTGTGATCTGTAGTGAGAGTAGGCAGCAGCTAGAAGAGAACCTAGAGAGGTGGAGGTTTGCACTAGAAAGAAGAGGAATGAAGGTCAGTCGCAGCAAGACAGAGTACATGTGTGTAAACGAAAGGCAGAACAGTGAAATAGTGAGGCTACAAGGAGCAGAGGTGGTGAAGGTGCAGGAGTTTAGGTACTTAGGATCAACTGTTCAGAGCAGCGGAGACTGTGGAAGAGAGGTGAAGAATAGAGTACAGGCAGGATGGAACAGCTGGAGCAAAGTGTCAGGAGTGATCTGTGACAGAAGAGTGTCAGCTAAGGTGAAGGGAAAGGTTTACAGGACAGTGGTGAGACCAGCCATGATGTATGGTTTAGAGACAGTAGCAATAGGCAGAAGACAGGAGGAGGAGCTGGAGGTGGCAGAGTTAAAGATGCTAAGATTCTCTTTAGGAGTGACAAGTATGGACAGGGTCAGGAATGAGGTCATTAGAGGGACAACACAGACAGGAAGGTTTGGAGAAAAAGCTAGAGAAGCCAGATTGAGATGGTTTGGACATGTGCAGAGGAGGGACAGTAGATACATTGGTAGAAGAATGTTAGAGATGGAGCTACCAGGTAGGAGAAAGAGAGGAAGGCCAAAGAGGAGATATATGGATGTAGTGAGGGAGGACATGCAGATAGTTGGAGTCAGAGTAGAAGATACAGAGAACAGGGAGAGATGGAAATCAATGATTTGCTGTGGCAACCCCTGGAAAAAAAGGGTCAAAGCTGAAAGAAAAAGAAGAAGTTCTACAGTAACAATGAAAGCAGAACTCGACCACAGTCCTGACCTGTGAAAGTCTACCAGTCCACGTCATTTGAAATCCTCAGTAATGTAACTAATGAAATTGTAATAATAAACAAAAAGCTCTGAACACACGATGGGATCTGGCTCCACAAAATTTGTTTGAGGGGTGGGAGTGGAGGAGGGTCTGCATCTGAGGCTGCAGCTGAGAAAACAAGATAAGAGTTGTGACAAGGCAGTGATGTCTTAAGACCAAGATGTTTGAACCGACAGCTTCCTTCAAACCAGTTCTTCAGAGCTCTGTGAACTTAGGAAACGTCTATAGAACAGGAAAAATGAGGCAAAACACAATGCGGTGCAGTGATGACACACTTAACACATGAACAACAGCAACAAAGCCAAGCAGCCTGGCGATTCAAGAAAGAACAGCAGCTGTGTACACTTCAGTGGTTTACTTTCGGACCTAGCCTACTTTTTTTAGAATAACCAGAAACGTTCGGTGTTTTGAGTGTTCGAGTGAGAAAGTAAGTTCACGGAGACATCATTAGAACTGGAATTTCAGAATTCCCCAAATAGTGATGAATTTGTCTTCGGAAGTACTCTAGTCAAAGTACCTATTAACGCGGTACTTCTCAAATACTGGGGCGGCCCCCATGAGGGGGTGTGTGGTGAGGTACTGTGGGGCATGAGGGCCTTCCAGTGGAATATGGCATGCTAATCTTTCGCTGTGAAGTTCACAGCTAATCTTTCGCTGTGAAGTTCACAGCTAATCTTTCGCTGTGAAGTTCACAGCGAAATATTACTTCACAGCGAAAGTTTAGTTCACAGTGTGAAGTAATCTTTCGCCGTGAACTAATCTTTCGCCGTGAACGAATCTTTCGCCGTGAACTAATCTTTTGCTGTGAACTAATCTTTCGCTATGAACGAATCATTCTCTGTGAACTAATCTTTCGCTGTGAACTAATCACTATGAACGGATCATTCTCTGTGAACTAATCTTTCGCTTCGTTCTCACAGATTCGTTTCATTTGTCACGTGAAAGAGCTCGGGTCTTTTTTGTTCTCATTCATCTTCACATTGTGGTGTGCTTTTATTTCTTAGCTTTTCGCATGGTTTTAATTGCTTATGGCATTTTGTGTACTTTGTAGACTTTGTCAGCGGAAGCAAACCATGTTGCCTTCAGTATTTAGTGTCGGAGAACCGCAGCCTTCTTTACAACGCCCACAAAAGGGCTAAAGCGCCACCTGCTGTAAAACAAATGAAATGATTAGTTCAAGATTCGTTCACGACTCGTTCATTTTACTGTTCAAGAGTCAAAGATTCGAATCAATAAAAAGAGTTGGTCTTCCCATCATTAATCCGTAACAGCCTCGTCCAACTCCTACTGTATGTTCAAAAAAAGGGACAGACTCAACGATGACACACCCCTCTTCCTAAAGCTACAGGTCTGTGCCCGTCTCCCCAGCCTTTCAAAACAAAGCGCAGGAAGTTATCCCTGCTGCACTGGAAAACTACCATACTATATACTGTATATATAAAGGTATCAATAATTTCGAAGCGTTTTACAAAGTTTTGAATTACTTATTTGATAAGTTACAAAGAAACACACCTGTAAAACACATTTGTCACACGCAAATTCATTCCATTTTTGTTATTTGTGATGCTATGTGACATGACTAACATTTTCAAACGTGATCTCAAAATAATTAATATTGAGGGCCAAGGCTTTTAAAATGGCAACAATAAACCCATTATTATAACTTTTTATATTGATATGTATTAGAGAGTAGACACAAAACCTGTCAAATCAGTCAGCTTTATTTTGAAAAGCCTGCTCGTTCATTTGAGAACACGTCTTTAAGCAGTGTCTTCACACACCTTCATTGTCATTTTAATTTATGAAAGCTTTATTGGCAATTTATTGATTCAACTGACAGACAAAAACTTCTGATTTAATGTCGGATTTACAATTCAGCCGCAGAAACTCGAACCGACGACCTTCACATTTACTATCGTTAAATTTTTCACAATGCAACAAAGTAATACTTACGGTACGTTAGCATAGCCAAGTATAAAAACTAAAAAGGACCTTTAAAGAATCACATAATCACATAAATTACAAAACACTTCGACTTCATTGTTGTCTACTGCCGTTTGCTTCGATCATTGACCTGAACCAAAGCTGCGGCCACACAGAATCAGAAACATATTTTACATTCACAAACTTCGCAGTCACAGATCAGCCAGCTGAATATGTATGGTCGGTGAGACCGAGATCGTCTACATGTTCTGGGAGCAGACTTACAACATATTTTACATTCACAAACTTCGCAGTCACAGATCAGCCAGCTGAATATGTATGGTCGGTGAGACCGAGATCGTCTACATGTTCTGGGAGCAGACTTACAATACAAGATGTGAATATAAATATATTTGTTGCTCCTTTTTTTTTGGCTTCTGTCTTTTTCTCATTGTAATGGTGAACTCTTGGTAGGAATCATTATCCTGGACTCCATGCTCCTGATCAGAGGCACTGAAGACAAAGACAGTAGGAAACAAGTCAATATTTCATGAATCAAATACCAAACAAGTACTGACTGCAAAAATGAGGAGATTAAAAATAAGAATAGCAGATTTTCTTATCATACAAATACAATGAAATTGTACCATACTGTGCAGGTACAACTCCGCTCTCTTACCTGTATAATACACGCTAGAATCCCATCCCTCCTTCAGCCAGGCAGAATTCCTTGTTTCTTCTCTGGACTGAAGATTCTCATACACTGTTAAAAAAAAAAATCCATCCATTATCTACCGCTCTTTCTCTAATAGGTGCGTTGGATTAATTTAAATGTTAAAAATATTTGGTCTGAACGCCCATCAACCAGTGATTAGTGAGGTCTGTCTCACGCAAACCAAACACCTGACCTGAAGTTAGAGTCTCCACAAACACATGCTGGGAGTGGAGAGGGTATTTAAGCCTGAAGTGCGTCTGTGAAATCAAAACTCTTTCCTACAATGTGTGTAAATGACATGTGCTCCCTTATTAGAAAATATATGGCCTGATTATTTTACTGGCGACATACAGTTTCATACTGTCTGCTCTATACACACACACCTGATCTTTGCAAAAACGATGAAGCGTTTGGGTTTTTCCACACAGCGTATGGACTGTATTACGATTGCGATAATTATTCTTGTAACCTTGTTTTGAGTGGGTGGCCAAACTTTGTTTTTAAAGACAAACCTTCAAAGAATAGGATGTATACCTTCAACTAACATGATCTTGGATAAACTCAGGGACAAAAACTTCACCTAAAATTACAACTGCATCCAACACCAGACACCAAGAAAATGGTTATATATTTAAAAGCAAGCTTCGGCAGGGGGGGCAGTATCACTCACCCCACAGGTGATGAACGACGTACAGGTCCCCGATCTGTGAGAAGAACCCACCCACGGCCTCGTTGTTCTCCTGGCGGTACCTGATTGCTCTCGCCCTGGTTGTTAAATTCACAAACGTAATGATTAATGATAAAAAACTGAAAATAAATGTTCTAATTATTATTTTTATTAGGGCTTACCAGTGGTTGCCCCACTCAATCATGGTCCCTGGCTGAAACATATGTGAGTTTGTGTACATTAAGGGAGGGTTTTTAAATGTCAACATCAACACGTTATCATTTAAACGGTTTCTATAAACATGTGATTTTAAAAATTTCATTTAAATCAATTAAATCTTAGTCTTCCAATTGTTAGCACCTTGAGGTTGTATGTACGCATCTCATAGATGTTTGGTCCTGGACGCGGCAAAGGTTCATTCCAGAAACTGAACTCCAGGAGAAGTTGGTTTGGTCTGGAGATCAACATTTTTGCTCTCTCTTTTCAAAACTCTAAATACTCTTGTTGAGACAAAAGAATCATTTAATAGTATCTGAAGACCAAAACCAGGCAATATATTACCACTGTCAAAGAACTCACGTAAACAATAGCGTCAACAACCTTGTTCTTCTTGTACTTCTTGAGGCAGTCAGTCAGGGCCGGGTAGCCTCCATTGTACCGTCACAAATGCACTACACAGAAAGAACAGCAGATGTCACTGTACGCTGTGGGTTAATGCTCACCACCCACACATCCTTTAACCAACACTTTTTGCTGTCACTGAATGCACTTCAGCACATGTAACACAGCCTGAACTCTCAGAAATGGGGGGGTTGACGCCGAGTTATTTGCAGTACTAGGTCTTGGGAGAAACCAGTACACACAGCATATGATAACATATACTGTGGTCAACAGCAGCTTATGTTATGCCATATACTGTATCAATGCATACCAGCTTGATCCTGGTCTCCATACCAGGTATTCCAGCTTCCGACCACCTCACACAGATAGTCCTGGTCATGATGAAGTCTGTTTTGTACCTCAGTATCAGCAAATTCTTGCGAACAATGTTCAAGAATCAGTGACAAAGTTGAAGTTGCGCCAGGGCTGGACACTTCAACAAGACAACAACCCTAAACACTGCTCAAATTTTACCAAAGCATTCATGCAGAGGAACAAGTACAACGTTCTGGAATGGCCATCTCAGTCCCCAGACCAGGATATCATTGAAAATCTGTGGTCTGTTTTAAAGCGGGCTGTCCATGCTCGGAAACCATCAAACCTGACTGAACTGGAGATGTTTTTGAAAGAAGAATAGTCAAAAATACCTTCAACCAGAATCCAGACCCTCATTGGAAGCCATAGGAAGCGTTTAGAGGCTGTTTTTTCTGCAAAAGGAGGATCTACTAAATATTGATGTAATTTTTCTGTTGGGGTGCCCAAATTTATGCACCTGCCTACTTTTGCTTCAGTAATTATTGCACACTTTCTGTAAATCCTATAAACTTAATTTCACTTCTTAAATATCACTGTGTTCGTTTGCTATATGATATATTTAATTGAAATTGCTGTTCCGAACAACCAATGATCCATAAAGGAAAATCCTGAAAATGATCAGGGGTGCCCAAACTTTTTCATACCACTGTATATTTGCAGCTTCTTTAGTTACCTAGAGTCTGGCTCATGAACTGATCAACACACTCCACCTCAATAGGTGGCGGTAAAGTTTAATTGCCAGCCAGAAGAACGTGCATAGGGATGCAATAAGTGACATCAGCGCACAACAAACGTAAAACAATGATGAAAGACAGGAAAACATTTCTTGTTTTTTTTTTTTTTTTTTTTTTTTTTTGGATCGAGCAAAAGTGCAGCTAAACCACACTTTATACCAAACCTCTAAAGTGTTGCCATGTTCCTGTTGTGGTTACTAACCTATTATTATTCCGGCTATCGTTATCACTCAGAATTAGTATTGAACTTGTTTAACTTGCTGCTCATTATTAAATCACAATAGAAGGGTCACAAACGTCAGTGGGTCAGTGACAGTTGCTAGGTAACAGACTCCTCATAGAGTTTCTGCTTTTGTGAACAAAGTTAAGAACAGACATTTGAGTTACAGGATGAGAATAAAAGAGAGTCAACATTTCTATGACAAGCCAGTATGTCATCTGAATCATTCTCTAAAGTGCAATTTTAAGGTAGAAAGATAAGTTTAAGTTTTAAGTTTAAGTTTGTACACTGTTGCATTGAAAGCAGTGAACGGACTCACTCTAGAGTGTTGTACGCTTCCAGGCACTCTGGCTTGACATTGTGGACTGTAAAAGAAAGAGAGAAACTCAGGAAAAATGAAAAATACAAGCAAAAGTCAAAATCGTCCAACAAGGTTATTTCACACTCTAATTCGGCAAAGACTTCAATATACAAAAAAATATTTGTGTCCAATAGGTGATAGGCTATGGTTGATGGAGTACTCAAATTGAATCTGTCCCTGGGTTGATGAAGGCCAGGAGAAAGATCAAAGCCTGGGAGAAGACACTGTCGTCACTGCTGCCTCTGCTTCACAGACTCAATACATTCAACAAAAATTATTCGGAACTTTTTTTTTTTACTAAGGTCACACAAGGTGATGACTCATAATTTTCTTCAACGACCTTCAACAAAAACTAAACAGGAAATTCGGTGGGGATTCTTCACGATGAAGACATTTATCAATGTGTACGCGAATATCGTAATGAATGATATAACGAGGGAAAATTTGTTTTGAGGTAATAAAAATATGTTCAATAAATAATGAATAAATAATTGAATTTATAATAACGTTCAATAAAACAATTGTTTCCTTCTAGAAGGCCATAAAAGCATTACGATGGATGGATGGATGGATGGATAGATAGATGATAGATAGATAGATAGATAGATTGCTAGATAGATTGCTAGATAGATTGCTAGATAGATTGCTAGATAGATTGCTAGATAGATTGCTAGATAGATAGATTGCTAGATAGATAGATTGCTAGATAGATAGATTGCTAGATAGATAGATTGCTAGATAGATAGATAGATAGATTTGTTGTTGGTTTCCCTCTTTGACAGCAGGTTGGAGTGGGCATCTTTCTTGGCATCGACTTTGTGCACAAAACAGCGAGCGAAACTAGCCTTTGTCACTGCTATCTGAAAAATTCCTACACAGAGAAGTGCATGAAAGAAGGTTTCACAAAAGCTCCAAGCTTTCAATGTTACAGAGAACCACCTGACAGAGGAGACACGCTAATTTACAGTATAGTTTGATACCAAAAACATTCATACTGTGTGTGAGTGGGTTGATTGTTTTAGCTTGTGTCTTTGGCCTTGAGGCTCCTCAATAAGACTGTTAAAGAACTGTGGGGTAAAATTATCAACAGGCAGAACAATTAAATACTCTTTCACTAGGTGGCAGCAGATGACTAGGTGGCAGCAAAAGACAGCCTTTGAAGAAGATATTTGTGTGTCCTTTCTCAATTCCTGTGAGTATATCAGTGTGGTGTTCAACTAAACAGGCTCAAGTTCCAAATAAATTGAGAGTAAACAGAAACTAGAAGATCAACATATTTCTTAACATACAGTATATAGTATCTAGTAAATAGTATATAGTAAAAATATATTGTTTTACATGCTACATTTTTATGCAGTGCTAATTTTGGGTCACTAAACATTTTGACTGGATTTTGACAAAAATAGACCATATTGCACCAATATTTCTCAAGCTTTAATTTCCTTATTCAAAGATTTGAACTTTCAAGGTTAGTGGGATGTGTCTTTGTTAAACCTCAGGGGCCAGCTGCTTAAATTAAAAACTATAATTAGAAACAAAAATCCCATGGGACCTTCAAATAAACAAGAGGCTACACAAGTAGCATAAATGAAATGCATCTTTGGAAGATATTGACAGTATTTGCAGCTTAACAGAACAAAGTTCAGGAGCGTGGTAAATGATTAGAGGCTGTTTGGAACAACGCCTAACACATGTATTCAACACATTTCAACATCTTGAGATCAGTGGGATCTACTGTTGCTGCATTGATTACTGTGTGACTGTTCAAGACAATGTTATGAACACAAACAGTGATATTGTAGGTACTGTAGTTTGTTATATATTCATTTGAATCCAAAAGACATTTCACAAAAGGCATGCATCTATTTATGGTGTTTACAGGAGGTCAAAGGGCACCACATCACATTCAGCTGAATAAAGATGTGGCTAAAACAAAAACTAAATGAGAACTCTACAGAAATGTAGTTGTATTCATATTACAAGGAATTTTATATTAGTACATTTTTTAACCTGTTTTGCCATCAGAATTTAAATATATATATATTTTAAAAGGACAAAAAACCTTTTTCAGTATAAACATTTACATCTGTTTTCAGATATCTTGTTTTGTAATTTTTTTCAGACAAACTTAAACCTGAACTGTAAAATCTGGCTGATTTATCTATGTGAAACGTCACGTTTAAAAAACATTGGAGACACGAACACGCCGCTATCATGCGTTGTATAAGGACGCATATATGACTGACGTTAATGGATGAAGAGTAATTTAGAAAAGAGAAACGTTAAGAACAAACAGGGACGTTAGTAAACACTCAGGGCGGACGGTAGAAAGTTGCTAACTAATGCTACACCTTTTGCAAACTTACCGGCCGGCTCGGTGCACTTTGACAGAATATCTGTACAAAATGTTCCGTCCTCTTAACCACGCACAGGGAACCGCAGCCGTCGCCATGATCCGTTTTACAACCGCGGAGTAAAAGGCAGGTCTGAGGGTTGCAATACAGTTTAAACTTTTTTGTCACATCGGAAGTGTCTGGCGTTTGCCTGGGAGCCACGTTAAAGGGCAAAAAGTTCCACGAAAAACTCGGAAACTAGTTCCCGTACGAAAATGATGTTAAAGCCGCATGTGGGAATGATGGAACAAGACTTAAGATGGGAGAAATTTATGGGAGATGACGTAACCACGCAACGCTGTAGAGACTCGAGGAAATATTAAAATGTATGCATGGTGATACACTACCTCTAACCTACTGCTGTACATGAATTACATAATCCTGGCCTAAATTGTTGTTGTCTGGTGTGTTTTTGCTGCTATCTACTGTTGTTTTATGGATAATATGAATTATATTATAACACACACTGCGATGCTCACTGATCCTCTCCATCATTCTACCCACTGACTTTATATGACATCACACCAGATCATACCTAAAATGATTCAGACTCAATTGCTTCATTGTATGCGCATTCTTCAAAACTCCCAACATCACATTTTAGGTGCCGTACACAGCGGCACAAAAGCCGTTTGTGTGCTCCTTTCAGAAATTAAACTGAATAACCGTTATCTCCAATTGGGTTATTAAGACTGAAAACATTACATTTATTTGGAAATACACTTCATTTAGATATGCTCACAGCTAATAATAATAATAATAATAAACATCCTCCCGGGCATTCGTGCTTCTGACTCGTGTCGATGGAAACATCCACAGGGCTTTGAAAAAACAAACCTACTTTCCGCATTTTCTGCTGTAAAGCAAGCAATTACCCTCACATTTCCCAAGCGTCGGCTTTTGTGAATGTGCCAATTCTGCCTCCATGATTTATCACCAGTGTCGGGAATATTTCTTTGACTGAAACATACAAGTCTTGAAATTCCTGGTTCACAGCAATACCCTGCAAAGAGTGACACATAGACGCAAAAGGGCAACCAGTGAAAATATTTGAACTTTTTGTAGATAAAATACATTTTGTGCGACTTACAGCAAAGTCTATTGCCACATTATGTTAGACAAAAAATGTGCACAGCATGTAGGCTGCAGAAAAACAGTCAGACTAGCATAAAAAAAAAGAAATAAAATAACAACGGCATCACTTTGTTCGTTATGACACAGAGGTTGCTTATATTTTAAATATAAAAAGTGAGTATTTTTAAGGCTATTATTCTTCAGTTTTCTCTAAAAACATATTGTTCCGTTTGAAAATGTAGGTTAAATTCAATGGATAAATAACCTGGTCGATGACACCCGAGACTGTCTGAAGTTCTACAAGAAGCATTTAATCTGTAGTCATAACACAGCTGCCTGAAGAGCTTTGGTCAGTCTCAAAGTAGTATTTGTTCATGAGTTATTTGCACTGATTAGTGTTGCTTTAAAACTAAAGGTGGAAATGAAAAGATTCAGTCGAACACAAAAACAGCTGAACACACTAGTTCTTCTTTTTCTTTCGGCTTTGTCCCTTTTTCAGGGGTTGCCACAGCAAATCATTGATTTCCATCTCTCCCTGTTCTCTGTATCTTCTACTCTGACTCCAACTACCTGCATGTCCTCCCTCACTGCATCCATATATCTCCTCTTTGGCCTTCCTCTCTTTCTCCTACCTGGTAGCTCCATCTCTAACATTCTTCTACCAATGTATCCACTGTCCCTCCTCTGCACATGTCCAAACCATCTCAATCTGGCTTCTCTAGCTTTTTCTCCAAACCTTCCTGTCTGTGTTGTCCCTCTAATGACCTCATTCCTGACCCTGTCCATTCTTGTCACTCCTAAAGAGAATCTTAGCATCTTTAACTCTGCCACCTCCAGCTCCTCCTCCTGTCTTCTGCCTATTGCTACTGTCTCTAAACCATACATCATGGCTGGTCTCACCACTGTCCTGTAAACCTTTCCCTTCACCTTAGCTGACACTCTTCTGCCACCGATCACTCCTGACACTTTTCTCCAGCTGTTCCATCCTGCCTGTACTCTATTCTTCACCTCTCTTCCACAGTCTCCGCTGCTCTGAACAGTTGATCCTAAGTACCTAAACTCCTGCACCTTCACCACCTCTGCTCCTTGTAGCCTCACTATTTCACTGTTCTGCCTTTCGTTTACACACATGTACTCTGTCTTGCTGCGACTGACCTTCATTCCTCTTCTTTCTAGTGCAAACCTCCACCTCTCTAGGTTCTCTTCTAGCTGCTGCCTACTCTCACTACAGATCACAATGTCATCTGCAAACATCATAGTCCATGGGGACTCCTGTCTGACCTCATCTGTCAATCTGTCCATCACCACAGCAAACAAGAAGGGGCTCAGGGCCGATCCTTGATGTAGTCCCACCTCCACTTTGAAGTCTTCTGTCCTCCCAACAGCGCACCTCACTACTGTTGTACTATTCTCATACATGTCCTGCACCAAACTAACATACTTCTCTGCCACTCCTGACTTCCTCATACAAAACCACAATTCCTCCCTTGGCACTTTGTCATATGCCTTTTCTAGATCTACAAATACACAATGCAGCTCCTTCTGACCTTCCCTGTACTTCTCCATCAACATCCTCAAGGCAAATATTGCATCTGTGGTACTCTTCCTAGGCATGAAACCATACTGTTGTTCACAAATCTCCACTTCCTGCCTCAACCTAGCTTCAACTACTCGTTCCCAAATCTTCATTGTATGGCTCATCAACTTTATCCCTCTGTAGTTGTTACAACTCTGTGCATCACCCTTCTTATGAATTGGCACCAGAACACTTTTTCTCCACTCATCAGGCATCTTGCCAGTCTCTAAAATTCTGTTAAACAAACCAGTCAGGAAATTTACTGCCACTTCTCCTAAACACTTCCATACTTCCACTGGTATGTCATCAGGACCAACTGACTTTCCACTCTTCATCCTCTTCAGGGCTTTTCTAACTTCATCCTTTCTAACCTGATCTACCTTCTTCCTACTAGTCTCTGGCTCCTCGTTTCTACTTTCCCTTTCATTTTCCTCATTTAACAACTCCTCAAAGTATTCCTTCCATCTTCTCAGCACACTTTCCTCACTTGTGATCACATTCCCCTCTCTGTCCTTAATCAACCTCACCTGCTGCACATCCTTCCCAGCTTGATTTCTCTGTCTCGCCAATCTATACAACTCCTTTTCTCCTTCCTTTGTTTCCAAACTCTCATACAACTCCTCATATGCCTTTTGTTTGGCCTTGGCCACTTCCCTCTTCACCTCCCTTGTCCTCTCTTTGTACTCCAGTCTGTTCTCTTCTGTTCTGTCACTGTCCCATCTCTTCTTCGCTAATCTCTTTCTCTGCACACTCTCCTGGATCTCCTCATTCCACCACCAGGTCTCTTTGTCCTCCTTTCTCTGCCCAGAGGACATACCTAGCACCTTCCTACCTGTCTCCCTAATCACTGCAGCTGTAGTCTCCCAATCATCTGGGAATATCTCAACACTACCCAGAACTGCCCTTACTTCCTTCCTGAAGTCTTCACAACATGTCTCTTTCCTTAGTTTCCACCACTTGATCTTCTGCTCTGTCTTCACTCTCTTCCTTTTTGTCACCTCCATCGTCATTTTACACACTACCATCCGATGTTGTTTGGCTACACTCTCACCTGCCACCACCTTACAGTCTCTAATCTCCCTCAGATTACATCTTCTACATAGAATATAATCTATCTGTGTGGACCTGCCTCCACTCTTGTAAGTCACCCTATGTTCCTCTTTCTTTTGGAAATATGTGTTTACCACAGCCATTTCCATTCTCTTTGCAAAATCTACCACTGCCTGTCCTTCTACGTTTCTCTCCCTAACACCAAACCTGCCTATCACTTCCTCATCTCCTCTGTTCCCTTCCCCTACATGACCATTTAGGTCTGCTCCAATCACCACTCTCTCTCTCCTGGGGATACTCTCTACCATCCAATCTAGCTCCTTCCAGAACTTCTCCTTTTCTTCCAACTCACAGCCCACCTGTGGGGCATAACCACTAACAACATTAATCATCTCTCCTTCTACTTCTACCTTCACACACATCAACCTGTCTGACTCTCTTTTCACCTCTACCACATTTCTTACATGTTCTTCCTTTAGGATCACCCCTACTCCATTTCTCTTCCCATCTGAACCATGATAAAACAGTTTGTAGCCTCCTCCAATGTTTCTAGCCTTACTGCCCTTCCACCTGGTCTCCTGCACACACAAAATATCTACTCTTCTTCTCTCCATCACATCAGCTATTTCTCTACTTTTCCCTGTTATTGTACCTACATTCAAATTTAACAGCACCTACTAAATACAGCTTTTTAAATATTTCTTCTGTTACATAAAGTTTGGATATCTTATTCCATGCTGAAACTCTGACTTTTCTGACTTCCCCCCATATTTCAGGTAGTGGCGATGAGCCTCAGGTGTTGCCATTAAAATATAGCCCAGCAATCTATTATCCACATTCCCCATTTTAACCGCTGATGCCACTCTCTCTTAGTTTTCCTGCTAGAACCAATCTCTTTTCGGCAGCTTACGTTGAGGGATTTTATTTACTCTGAGGCCCACAGCGAGACGGATGCCTCCTTCAGGGGGTATTTGGTTGTTGCTGTGGTGACAAAAAAAAAAAAAAAGAAGTTTTAAAAAAGCTGGATTGGTTAAGTTAATCATGGCAGAAGAATATAAAACACAGAACAGAGGACTTTATAATCTGTGGATTTAAAATAAGGAGTTTTTAAACAAAACAGCTTCATGTTCCACAGTTTAAAATATATATTTTTAAAAAAATAACACACACACGCACGCACACACGCACGCACGCATAAATAGTATTGAGAACTTGATAACATGTATATTTTTATCTGTACAAACCACTGTATGAGTTGCTTCCATCTAGTGCCTGGAGGCTTGTTATCATTCAAGCATTACAGCAACACTTATGTCCAGCTTCCCATATTCCATTGGAAGCCCCTCACTCTACCTCCCCCCCACCCAGCACCTCACGACGAAAAGTACTGGGATAAACCAACCTGGATAACTGAGAATTTGCAGGGTTTGACCAATTGGAAACAAAAGCTGATATAAAAAGGTTTGATCATAGATGAGTATGTTCATGTTTTTTTTTTACAAACTCCAAAAAAATTTTTTTTCACTTTGCCTTTGTGACTTTTTGTGATCGTCT